TCTGAATCTATACTCTCCAGCATCCGTCTCTCTAATGTTCTTTATCTGCAATGTACAGTTCCTTGTGTTGTTCCCCAAGAATTCCGCTCTGCCTGTGTACTCAGCACTAATGTTTGCATTATTACTGTGACAGACATATGATTTTCCAGTACAGCCCACATCATTCCGACTCCACATCCTGGAGTCCACTTTGTGTGGCTCTGGATATCCATATTCACACTGAATGAGCACAGTCGATCCTCTCAATGCACACAGGTTTCTCTCTGTGTAACGCACAGTCCATGCACCATCTATAATCCACAGAGAACATGAAGCAATGATTTATTCATCTTGGTTTTGGTAAAGTTTTGACTTTAAGCTTATTAGAAAAAATACAAGGCTTCATGGCAGTTTTATGAGAGGTATTTCCCGTAAAAAAGAAAACGAAAATTATAATGATAAAATGTAAATACCATAATCACTTCACCATTTTGATTTCAAAGTCTATGGGCAAAGATCCAGCAAAAATCTTTCACTCACACTTGTCATTTGTGAAAAAAGATACAATTTTAAAACATTTTTTTTCTTTTCATTATCCCTTTAGTATTCTAATCTTCCAGTTTGATTTCCTAGTTTGCTTTTTCATTTTCATGTTCACACCATGCAAATACAGTATATGTTAACTGATTCAGGGAAGTGGGCGGAGCTATGCATCAGTGTGTCAGGCAGTGCTGTACTTCGTCGGTGTGGTCGCTGTTTTCCAAACGGCAAAGTCACACGTAGATTAAGTTAGCTACTTCTTAGCAGCTTTCGATTCATTTAGCTTCTTATTCTTAGCGTCTTATTCCTACAGTAGCTTCACTAGAGGGGAGTGGTCGCAGCAGCACATGCTGAAGTTTATAGTTGAGACATTCTCCATCCATCCATCACCGTAACTGCTTAATCCCAACTGGGATCGTGGGGGGGACTGGAGCCTATCCCAGGAACAATGGGTGCAGGTGGGAACTGAGCAGTCGTCAAGACATCGCTGGGCACAAGTGCGCATGCGCGCGCGCACACACACACACACACACACACACACACACACACACATACATACAATTACAGGGCCAATTTAGACTTGCCAATCAACCGTGGGAGGAAACCGGAGCTCACAGCAAAAATGCACACGAACACAAGGAGAGCGCCTTCAGTCACAAGAAGCGATTCATTTACTTAAATAATATGTTTGACACTTTGTTGAAGTCATTCACATCATAATCATGCATATGATTATTACGCCCTCTCCATCCTCTTGTCTGCCTTCTCCATCCTCGTCTGCCCTCTCCATCCTTCTTGTCTGCTCTCTCTATCATCTTGTCTGCCCTCTCCATCTTCTTGTCTGCCCTCTCCATCTTCTTGTCTGCCCTCTATCGTCTTGTCTGCCCTCTA